CCTGCTAAGGGCATGTACCTCGGTTGCACTTTGTCCCCAGCCCTGGTTGGGTTGTACGGGAGGCAGCCACTCAATGTGTCTCTTTCATGTCGATGTTTCTCTCTCCCCCCCCCCCACACTTTTTTCTGTTCTCACCCTTTATTGGGAATACAGGGCAATATTACAGTTTTGGATCATTAAATGAACAAACGTGGTGATACAGTATGGACAACAAGAATGACCTGAATTATGGGAGTGAGTGGTTTTCCAGTTTGGGGGGTAACAGAACAGGTGCAAGATCTTCAAAGAGAACCATATTACTCAGCCACTGAAAGGTTTTGGCTTCAACCCACTAATGGCTGGAAGGAGAGCCAGTTTGGTCAGCCATCTTAATCACAGCAAATCAGAATCTGCATACTTTTTCAAACGAATTTTAGGTATAAGAGAGAACTCCAGACTGACTCATAAATCGATCTGGATAACTACTAAAGTGTCCTCTATTCACAAGTTGGCAAAAGCTTCAGAGTGACTGCTGGAGCAAGGAACCTTTCATGTGCTCCCAGTTGTTATATAGTGCATAGAGGCTAATAAGTGTTAGTCCTGCTAGAACACCTCGTGCTACCCCTCGAAGACCACCTGTACATTTATACAACATGCCCATCATAGCTCCAGCTGCTACTGTGTTGAGGTCATGTTCTGCACCTCGTGTTTTCTCAATGATGACACCAAATGTATTATATAGCAAAGCCAGAGAACCTAGAGTATTAGCCCAAAGTGCCCCTTGCCTGGTCGTCACGTTCAAAATCTGTACATTTCTTGGTTTGGACCAGGCCGTGTTCAGGGTTTCTTTCAATCCGAGCCGTAGACCATTCATGGCCCCAAATGCAGCCCCTGTCATGCAACATCCTCCCATGGTAAAGAAGGCCAGTTCAAATCTGCCCAGGGTTTTATTAGCTCCGGTTGGTAAAATAAACTCATGTGTATCCTGCACGAGATACCATGGATCCACATTTAAATAAGGAGGCAGAGGATTCATACCCGTCAGCGGGACGCCGGCCAAATCCGCGTGCGAGTAACCAGCTCCGCCGGCTCCGAAAAGCCGGCCAACCCCGCTGTGGTTTTGTTGCCGCTTCCCCCGCCGCCCTCCACGGTCTTGCAGCGAACTGCCCGGCTTCTACCACCGCCTCAGGCCGCGATCTTCGGCGTTCCTCCTCAGGAACAGCCTCTCCCTCCCTTAACAAAAAGAAAGCTGCATTAAACACCTGACATAAATGACAATTGACACCAGCTTCCATGTCAGAAATATTAGGGAGGAAGGAAGACTGTGGTGAATACAAGCACATGCCCCCCAGATGCTTCTGGCTGCCCCTGACCCTTGCTGTGTGGGAAAGTGGGCCCAGGATGGCCAGACTTCAATTTTCAAGAAAAGCCAGAGTTTGGATTTTTACACTATTTTTAGTGTGGGCAACCAGTTAAAAATATTAAAAACAAAATTTTAGCTATACAGAACCTGTCTGCAGGCTGCATTTCATGTGAGGCCACAGTTGGGGCCTCGGGTATCGAGGAGGAAGCAAAGAAGGCTGGAGACAAAACTTTGGAGAGCACTGCCATCTAAGGGGGAATAGGTGATGTGAATACAGGGGAAGAAGACAGATGGACAGTGGAAAAAGTGGTAGGGCCAGGAGCAAGGATGTCATGTAAAGAGACCTGACATATCTTTAAAAGAAGAATTTAAAGACAAGTGAGAGGCCCTGTGTTATGTGAATCAGGAAAGGTTCACCAAGAGAGAGAACCTTGGAGAAACCTTTCAGTGGTCATAATCTGAGCCTGTTACTCCCTGCTGCTCTGCCTCATGAGCGCCTTTCCTCAACCAGGCCTTTCTCTTTGTCATTTCTATTTCATCCCTTCCTCTTGGTGCTCAGTGAACTGCTACTTATCCTGTAAGGCCTGGTTCAGTGATACTACCTCTTTTGCCTCTTCTGTGGTTGTCTACCTAATGGATGACTTGCTTTCCCCACTGGGTTTCCAGAGTCCTTGGTTCCATATCACAGCACTTACCACATTTGATTCAAATACACTTTGGGGTCTCTGGGTCCTACCCACATCTTACCCACTGGCTATAAGGTCTTATGGTTCAGGGACTGGATCTTTTTTTTTTTTTATCCTCGCCCGAGGACTTTTTTCCATTTTTTATTCAGACAGAGCGGGAGGGAGAGAGAGGAAGACAGAGAGAGAAACATCGACATGAAAGGAACACATTGAGTGGCTGCCACTTGCACGACCCAACCAGGGCCAGGGACAAACTGCAACAGAGGTACGTGCCTTTAGCGGGAACCGAACCCGGGTCTTTTTGGACTGCAGGCTGACACTCTAACTGCTGAGTCAAACTGGCCAGGGCTGGATCTTTTTTTTTTAATTCTCACCCAAGGATATGTTCCTCCCCCCTCCCCCTTTATTGATTTGAGGGAGAGAGGAAGGGAGAGAGAGAGAGAGAGATGGAAACATCGAGGAGAGAGAACATTTACTGGCCGCCTCCTGCATGCCCCACACTGGGGATCGAGCCCACAACCCGGGCATGTGCCCTAACCAGGAATTGAACTGGTGACCTCTTGGTACATGGGTCGACACTCAACTATTGAGCCACTCTGGCTGGGCTCACCCGAGGATATGTTTTCATTCATTTTTAGAGAAAGAGGGAAGGGGAGAGATAGAGAAATATCGACATGAGAGAGAAACATTGATTGGTTGCCTTCCATATGTGCCCTGACCGGGGATTGAACCCCAAACCCAGGTATGTGTCCTGACTGGACCGAAATTGAACCTACAACCTTTTGGTGTTTGGGATGACACTCCAATCAACTGAGCCACCCGGCCAGGACCAGGGATGGGATCTTTTTTATCCTTCTGCCAGGCCCCATGCTTAAATTGTATGCAGTGATTTAAGTGATGTTTATGGAAGCACAGGGGTTAAGAGTAGGAACTCTGAGCCAGGCTGCCTGGGTTGGGAACCTGGCTATGCCACTTTCTGTATAGCCCAGGGCACAGCTTTTGGCCTTTCTGTGCTTATTTGTTCATCTGTCAAATGTAATCCTCACATCAACCTTTTATGATGAGGAATAAGATTAAACAAGTTATACTAAAAGCATTCAGAGGAGTGCCTGATACTTAGTAAGACTTATCAAAGACATACAAACCCTATTATAAATGTTATATATTTAACATAGAAATATTTAATTTTTATTTTTTAATCCTCACCCAAGGATATTTTTCTATTTATCTTCAGACAGAGTGGGAAGGAGAGAAACATCCACTGGAGAGGGACACGTCTACTGGTTGCCTCCCACACAACTCCAACCAGGGCCTAATCGCAACTGAGGTACTTGCCTTTGGCCAGAATCAAACCCAGGACTCATTGGTCAGGGGCCAATGCTCTACTGCTGAGCCAACCGGCCAAGGCAAAATATTTCATTATTAAATGCTAGCTTTGTTATTACATTGCTTCATTTATTTTTTACACTAGTGTGTCCGCAGTGCTCAGAACAGTGACTGGAACACTATGGATACTTAATAAATATTTGTAGAATGAATGAATGAGTGAGTGATGGACTTCCCTTTGCCCTCACTCCCTTGTCACACTGCCCTCCCAATGTGGGTGGGTGGGTGACAAGGTGTTCAAGGGCCATCAGGGTCTCTCAATCAGGGGTTAGTAGAAGTTTGTGGGCAGGCCTAGGGCATAGTTCTCAATTTTTCTCCAGGAAAATGTGTCTAGCCTAAGAAGGAACTTCTGCAACCCAGGTCAAAGATAAGTTGGGAAGGAAAATCTGCATGCACGTGTACCAGGAATAACCTCCTTTGTCTAATTTTATTCAGTATATTCAAGTTTTCTTCTCTAAGTTAGGTCGATTAGAGTGCAAGTTGCAAGTCAATTCACTTTTTTGTCTTTGGTCTCACAGGGAGTCATTAGGCTTCAGAACACTTCGAAGTGTTCATGTAACCAACAAAAGGAGTGTTTTGCAGCTACACAGACCTGCATTCGAATCACAACCTCTGACCCTTAGCTGCACTTGGTCTGAGTCTCGCTTTTCTTACCTATAAAATAGAAATACCTTTACTTTCTTCACAAGATTGTGATGAAAAACTAGTTAATTGTGCATTTTTAAACCACTTAAGCCCTGTACAAATACCAGTTATTATTGGATCTCCACACTGGTTTTTTGGCAGGGCTTAAGGAAAATAAAGAGTAAAAGGCTTAGAGACCCCTATTCTAATCTCTAGGCAAGGGTCCAGAGGGCCTGGGCTTTCCCGTCCCAAGGCTAGTCAGGGGCAAAACTGTGACGGTTTGGGTGGGCGATCAGTGCTGGACCAGACTAGGACCCAGGGGTCCGGGCTAAACACCATGCTTTCTTGCAGGTCAAAAGTCACAATCTACAAACCCTGGTAAGGACTAAAGAAACGCAACCCTTAAAGACGAAGTGAAAACCCAGACGCGGGGTCGGAGTGCGGTGTCAGGGGAGAAATCTTAGAGCGAGAGAGGAAGGTTGGTGGCGGAAAAACGATGCACCATCTGGTGTAGCGGAAGAGCAATGGAGCGCAGGAGCTCGTTATCCTGAGTGAAAGTAGGGCCCAGTGAAATAGGTCTGCCAAAGGAATTTCGGTTCCGCCCCGCGACTCGGGGCTTTGACTACAGTTCAGCCCTCTGACGCCCTGGGCCCCTCGCCCCGCCCCCAGAGGGTAATTAGACCGTACCATTATGCCTTCATAGGGGTGAGAGTAATCCTGGGCTAGTCCTGCAGAGCGAATCGGAGTTCTTTGTTAGAAAAAACAAGATTATATGTATTATTTGAAGATTCTTAGGTTCTTAGTTAATATGCTCCCCTTCTGTCTTCTCGGCCCTCTATGCCTTCTGAAGAGTGATGGGAGTCCCGCCATACTTCCCCCTTTGCTTTCCACATTTGGTACATTCCCCCGCGGTACGTAGGCGGGGAGGCGTACATAAACCGCGCAGGCGGCGGGGCTGCTCAGTCCTCGAGGCGTCGGAGTTCTGTGGTGTTGGGAGTCTTGTTGCGTGTGGGCCTGTGTGCGCGTGCGCCGACATGGCCTCAAACGGTATGTAAGGGCGCGAGGCAGCGGTGGTCCGCCGACCTGGGCCTTCATTCTCTCCCAGCTGGGCTTTTGTTTTTCGGTGGGACCCGGGCGACGATCGCGTGTAGGATTTCTTGTACCACTGTGGCGGGAAGCGGCATAGAAGGGTGGAAGGGGGAAGCCGATGTCGCCATCTTGTTTCGCTCCTCTGGCGCCTTGCGCGGGGCGGGAGGTCTTCATTCCCAGTTCTTTTCCTTGAGGTCAGAGTTGGGAGGCACGCTTCTTGGTGGTGTGAAACGTGAGCTAGGGATGTAAATGCTCGGTCTCTGTAGCCTTTTCCTCCCCCCGGTTCCCAGCCTTGCGTTCGGGCCGCTTTGTCGCAGTGCTGCATCCGGGCACTCGCTGCGCGCACGCGCTCTGCTGGCCCCTCCCCCCCTTTTCGCGGCGCGAACCCCCCTCCCGCCTCTTGCCGGTCCTGCTTTTTGTCGCGAGACCCTCGCTCGGTTGGAGACTCCTTGGTGCCAGTCCGGTTAGGACCTCCACTTCCCTCCTCCCCCCAACGGGTCCCTCGGGAAGGGGCGGGACCACCTTCTTCCCGCCTCGGTTGCCACGCGGCCGGGGCAGAGGCTCGGGATCCAGGCCGCGTGCCCGCTTAACGGTTGGCGGGGGATGATGGTGATTTCTGAGGGTCGTCCAACGGACTTGGGGAGCGAGTCCGAGCGCGTTCCCGCCTAAATTTCCTCATTCTGAAGTGGGATCGGCAAGGAACAGCAGCCCGAGGCCACACCCTCTCCTGGTCCTTTAGCCCTTTCCTGCGGGGGAAGTGCCTCGTTTACGGTGCGGAGGAGAGGAGTTGATCTGGTTGGTGCGCCTTCATAGTGGTTTTTTAAAAGCTCTTTTGCTACTTTTGATTGACCGAGTTCCCCCTCAGCTCCGGGGAAGGCAGTGGGATGAGAAAGTGGATTCAGTTGGAGCCACACAGGGCTGGGGACTTGAGTACCAGTTAACTTCTCTCCTGAGGCGAGCACTTTGATGAGCTGAGTCATTTGGGGTCAGAGTTCTCTTGGTTACCTGGCTTTGCATTAAAAGTCTACTTTTCCATTCTCCAAGAGTGGGCAAAGGGTGGAATGGCCTCTTGGGAGACATGCTTGTTCTTTGGGTCTTGTTGAGAGTGGCTACATCTGGAACAGTTGCCTCCTGCCTCCAGCTTTAATTAAAACCTATCCCACTTAAGTAACTCTGACTTCTGCTTGACTCTTGATGATACCTTCCTCATGGAGTGAGCATGAAAAAGATGTGTGTAAATTTGTGCAGTTCCTGATATCAATTGAATTTGTGGAAGATTGGCTGTCCACCAAAACTTGTACATTTTCAATAAGGTCTCTTGGTCTCTGTAGAAATATGCCTTTGTTTTATTGTGTATTACTCTTAGGGATGGCTGAAAGTGACGTAATTGTATTTTTCTTTTGCAGACTATACCCAACAAGCAACCCAAAGGTGAGTGTCATTTCTGGCCTTCCAAAGTTGTAGAAAGCTAAAGTTTTAGAGGGCAGGAGTTGCTAAGATAGTTTTCCTGATTGCTGTTTTTTTTTTTTATCCTACAGCTATGGGGCGTACCCCACCCAGCCTGGGCAGGGTTATTCCCAGCAGAGCAGTCAGCCCTATGGACAGCAGAGTTATGGTGGCTACAGCCAGTCAGGGGACACTTCAGGCTATGGCCAGAGCACCTATGGTTCTTATGGACAGACCCAGAACAGTGAGTCTCTTAAGTGGGTCACCCTGCCTCTTCCTGCTCTTTTTGAATGTGGCTTTTCTTAACCCTAAGCAGTGCTGACATGTTGAAACTGTCCCGTGTTTCTTTTCCCTTATCTACTCCTTAAAAAACTCTTTGGAGTCCTTTCAAGCAAAAATGCTTATTAGTTTATAATTCTGTTTCTTTTATGTTCTTTTTTTTTTAACTTTCTATTCATGCTGCACATTTCCCCATTGCCCCTCAGCATGAAAGTGAAATGTGGGGGGAAAGAATTTACTAAAGGGAGAAAGTTTTAGGCTTTTAATACTTACAGGGAGAAAATGATTTGCCTGAAGATGTTTGAAGTCAGACTATTATGTCATCATGTGCTACTCAGGGGTGGAATTTGCCCTGAGGCCCTGACATACAAATAACCTGGGTTGTCTTATTTATAATGCAGATGTATGAGCAGGTTGAAATGATGTTAACGAATAGGGATCTTGGGCTGTGGTTAGTGGTGGTCCTGGAGATTGGCTTTGGATGGACGGGATGAAATTTGAATGAAGTTGGTAGAAGTTGGAGCATTAACCTTAGGGTAGAAGAGAACGATAACTTTTTTTCCTAATCTTCACCTGAGGATATTTTTTTCATTGATGTTTAGATAGGGAAGGAAGGAGGGAGAGAGAGAGAAAGGGACACACACACACACACAGACAGACATCAATTGGTTGTTTCCTGCACAACCCTCACCAGGGCTGGGGATTGAACCTGCAACCCAGGTACATGCCCTTGACCAGAACTGAACCTGCGTCCATTCAGTCTGTGACCTGGACCTGTAACTGTTGAGCCATACTGGCCAGGGCAGGATAACTATTTTGACTATGAGTTGTAAGATTTCTAAGCAGCTGCTAAGAGGTAGACTTTTAAAGTATGGGTAGCATGAGGTAATATGTAACTTTTTTCAACCCATTCTTTGCCTTTTCTCTTAGCTTTTGTGATTTCCTTTCTCTTTTCCTTGTAGCAGGCTATGGTGCTCAGTCAGCTCCCCAGGGATATGGCTCAACTGGTGGCTATGGTGGTGGCCAGAGTTCTCAGTCATCTTATGGGCAGCAGTCCTACCCTGGCTATGGCCAGCAGCCAGCTCCTAGCAGCACCTCTGGAAGGTAAGGAGTTGTGGCGAGGCCTAAAAGAACATGGGTGAATTGATAAGAAATGATAACGTGATAGGAGCAATTATGAGGAGTAACTGGGGGAGTGTCTTTGTTGGGTTCAGAGAATGGGATGTACCAAAAATGAAAGGAAGTAGTGGGTATGCTGGCATTATGGTTCTGTCTTTTTCCTTTTCCTTAGTTACGGTAGCAGTTCTCAGAGCAGCAACTATGGGCAGCCCCCGAGTGGGGGCTATGGTCAGCAGTCTGGCTATGGTGGACAGCAGCCTAGCTATGGACAGCAGCAAAGCTCCTATAATCCTCCTCAGGGCTATGGACAACAGAACCAGTACAACAGTAGCAGTGGAGGTGGCGGAGGGGGTGGTGGAGGTGAGAAGCTGTCTTCAATTTTGTCTCATACCTGTTTTCTATAAGGACTTAAATTTTTGCTTGGCCCTTGCCCTAAAAGGGTTCTTAAAAATCTGGATTTCTTGTTCCCTGCTGTCTTTTTTTTCTTTCCCCTATTCATTTATCTCTTGGCATGGTTGAACTTTTTGTCACTTCAGTTTTTCTCTCTCAAGGTTTATCTTTTTTTCCTGACAGGTAATTATGGCCAAGATCAGTCCTCCATGAGTGGCGGCAGTGGCGGTTATGGCAATCAGGACCAAAGTGGTGGTGGCGGTGGCTACGGGGGAGGCCAGCAGGACCGTGGGGGACGAGGCCGGGGCGGTGGTGGTGGTTACAACCGCAGCAGTGGTGGCTATGAACCCAGAGGTCGTGGAGGCGGCCGTGGAGGCAGAGGCGGCATGGGGTAGGTGTCTTGTGAGCCAGGGAGTAACATCATTGGGGGGGTGTGGTGGATTGCATGAATCTTAAGTACCTTTGAGCATGATTAGTCTTATTCTAGGGATTTGTCATGGCTTTGCTATAAGGGCATTGACTGTTTATTCCTCCATCCCCATTTTATTTTTGTGAGAATTGGGGAGCCTGAACTCCCACCCATACCTCTGAGTGTTGATACTTACATTTCCAGAGGAAAAGGATAAACATATGGGTGTGTATGGATTGGAGTCATTGATATCCTAGGCAAGAAACATGGAAGTAAAGGCTTTCTCTGCAAGGGAAACCGATGATCCCACTCCTGGTAATAGGGAAACTTGTTACTTGTGTTCCCATGTGTTCCTCTAAGGGAGTTGTTAATGATTAACCTAACTTCAGCTTCCAGGAATTGACTACTCTCCGTATTCTGTAGTCATTTGAATCCATGAGCTTGATTTGCAGTAATTTGACTGACTGATGATTTTGTTTGTGACTTGCTTTGTGGGGCTACTGAAGTGTGCAGACCTTTTGGACAAAATACACTGGACAGTGGTATCCCACATATTTGCTCCACTGTCCCCCATCCCCTGGTTACTTGTCCAACTGGACCTTCTTCCCTTCCCAGTAGAGTTGAAGTAAAACCTAGATTTGATGTTAAAGCATGCGTCAAATCTGTTGGTAAATAACGATTTCAAGGACCATACTCCTGTCTCATGAAAAGGGGAGGAATGTCAATGTGTTGCTCCTTTTTTGGAAAAAGTAGGTTTTTAAAGTGAGTTTATATATGGTAAGTATTCAGAGGTGGGTGGGGGCAATCTCAAAAACTACAAAAATGAGGAAAACTCTGTTGTGTGTGTGTGTTTAATGCAAAACTTAAAAGAAAAACAACTGTTATGTGACTGTTAACTTGCTCTGCATTTTATGTGCCACAGGTATGAAAGGTGACATTGCAAAATACTTCGCTCTTCTCGCAGTGTAGAAGGGGTGACCCCGGTGGTTGGGGGAAATCAAAAACAGCTCAGTAGTTAGGATAGGGATTAGCTAAGTTTGTCTCGCTTTAAGGGGAAATTGCCTTTGGTTTTGACTTTTTACGGAGTGGGGTTGGGTCTGCTTGCTGCTTTCAAAGCAAAAACCACAAAATTGTGTTCAGGGCTACCCCAGCCTGGTGTGAAATGTCTTCTGGGTAAATTGGGGGTAGAGTTTTTAAACCAACTGCTGGGTTGTCAGCCGCTTGAGACAAGAGGAAAAAACATCTGCTACGTCGGAAGACCAACCGAGGAAAATGGGTCATTTTTTTTTTTTTCCAGAGGAAATAGAGATATATAATCTTTTAAAGCAAAATTCTTGAAAAACTGTGTCTAAGAAATTGCACACGTGTGTGTGACATGCTCAAAGGTCAGACAAGGGGTGGTCAGGAAGGGGAATGTATTTTAGTAGCCACTTGTATCTTTTTCCCAAAACACATACCCTTGTTGTTTGGGGAATATTAAACAAAATAAAAACAAAAAACAAAACAAACAAAAAAAACGCCCGTTTGTAGACGTTGGAAGCTTCATGTCCTTTCTTCTAACTTGTCTTCTCCAGCGGAAGTGACCGTGGTGGCTTCAATAAATTTGGTGGTAAGTGAACAGAGTTTCCAAAATTCCCAACTCCCAGCAATGCTTTGTCTGATTGTTCATTTGCAGATGTCTTAGCGTGTTTTAAGTGTCAAAGGTTTTGGAGTGTCCAGAACCACCTCCAGAAAGGGGTGGGGTAGAATGCCACCTGCTGCCAGATGTGTGCTAATGGAGGCAGGCAGGGGTAAGACTCGGCAGTCGTCTTAAACCAAATTGGTTTGACCCAGGTTAATAAGAGGTGTTTAATGAGTGTTGCCACACCTGGCACTTAGTGACCATGGCATTATGAAAAACTGGAGAGTGTGCTGGTACACGAACCAACTTGGCTTTAGGATCCTTTTTGATAATGTGTTCAAGGCTAGTGTGTGTGTGTGTGTGTGTGTGTGTGTGTGTGTGTAAGTAAGTGTAACAACCTTTAAATGTTTTAATTTCTGGAAGGGGATGTGAAATAACTGCCCTGCCCTGAGAATGGAGAAGTTGGTATATATTTATATATTAAATACTGAACGGTGTCAATTCAAGTCTACATTTATGTATTTAAGCTCAATTGAGATGGGCAAATAGAAACTAGCTGTTGGGAAGGAAGGTGACTACAAGAAAGGTTGGGAGCATGTGTGGCTCATGGGAAATAACCAGGTCTTAAACAACAAACTTGAATTAATGAAAAATTGCAAATTTGAGAAGTCTCCCAGTAAGCTGGAACTTTTCTGGTTTGGTTAACTAACAAAAGGTTTCTTGATTTGTCTTACCATTTAAAGCCAAAGGCCCGGGTTCGTGATTTAGGTGTCATTGAATGTGGGTACAATATTTATATATGGTGAATTCAGAGAAACTTTGGTCAAAGGTGGTTTCTGGAAAAAAAAAATAGGCTGCATTATGGAAATAAGATTTCTGGTCTGTTCCCTGGGACATGCTTTAAAAATCAATAGCGATTATGTATGCTTTCAAAAATATTTTCATGTGGTTTTGGGGAAACTTAACATGGTTTTAAGAATGGTTTCTAAAGAAGAAATTAAAAATTGTTCCACAAGGGATGAGTGTCTTTGGTTTTGAAGTTTGGAGAAACCGGATGGATGCGCAGCACATTGCTGGTGGTGAGCCCATTTCTCTCTGGGATGAGAGAACAGGGCCAAGCTATGCGTTGGTTTGTTAACTACAATGGGTTTCCCTCTTGGCCCCCCAAATCTGTGCTGAGGACATTTCCCAGCCTGAGCTGGGGGAGGCAGCATTATCTGAAGTGTGGAGTTGTCCTTGTGGGGACTCAAGTTACAGATCTTAAGAAAAGAGGCCTCTGTCTTCTTTCCCAGCCATGCCTAGGATTTTCTCTGGGCAGACAACCCAGGACAGGGTTTGGAGTGAGGCTATGAGCACTTAACTGATATTTTGTTAAAGAGTTTGGATTTGGTTTTAAGTTTTTTCCTTGTCTCTCTACTTGTTGACTAACGGCTCCTCTTTCCTTGTTTTTTTTTCCCCCCCATGTCGCTTAAGGCCCTCGGGACCAAGGATCACGTCATGACTCTGGTGAGTTCACAGGTGACATGAAAGAATAACTAAAGTGGTATATGAACTTTTTGTGGATGTTCTTTGAAACTTTAATATGAAAAAAGCAGAGGTAGAGAAGGCAAAGGAAGGGGGACGGCAGTTTAGGCATAGCTATAGTTAGCAGGGATTTGTAAGTGAACATATCAGAAATAACTGATGTGGTTTCCTCCACCAGCAATTTAGTAGGTTAGGAACTCAGGAGTACTGATGCATCTGTATGGACCATGTGTCAGAAATGCTGGTTTAAAGTATAGGTTTTTAAAAATGTGAATTAGTGAAAGACTTGTAAAGGGGCAGCATCTTGTAAAGGGGCAGTATTTAGTGTATCTTCTGATTATGTTTGTACTGGATTTTAGTGTAAAATAAGTTTTATCTTGGGGTCTTCAATTAAAAGAGTTTACAAACAATGGTGTGCTACTGTCTGATCTTGGGCAGTTAACTTGAGCCCTGGTTTCTGTCATGGGTATTAACATGTTTGAAAGATTAGTTGTAAAACTAATTTTAAACTTGTGAAATGGCTAGCATACAGGCGCTCATACAATAGAAAATAGGGATGTGGAATTTTGTTTGACCTAAACCAAATGATATTGGTTGCTTTAGAATTTTTTCCTTTGAAAGTTTGATATCAGGTATTGGTCAGGAGTCACTGACTCATTTTACCTTTGCTTGTTTTATCCTAATTCACATTTCTGTCTGTGTTTCACAAGCAGAACAGGATAATTCAGACAACAACACCATCTTCGTGCAAGGCCTAGGCGAGAATGTTACAATCGAGTCTGTGGCTGATTACTTCAAGCAGATTGGTATTATTAAGGTACTTGTGGAGCAGAGTGGGTGCTTTCTATCAGTGTTTCAGGCTTTTGGATTTCACACATTAGTAAAAATAAATGTCTTAATGCTTAAAAGCTTAATTTGTTGAAGGAACATTAGCTGTTGGAATTTTAAAATAACACAGGCACAATTGGTAAAAGGAGTATCCTAGACTTTTGAATTTGTAGGCTACAGCCTTTAGTTTTATCTTTTAATATGGTGAAAAGACTATTGTAATTATTGATATTCATTCAAGTTACATGTGAGATAGGAACTAGTAATTGGGAAGAGAGTAGCTGAAGTATGGTTACAATAAACCTCAGGTTTTGGAGGAAGAAAGTGGAAGGGTGGGTAGAACAGCGTGTCCTATAAGCCTGAGGTTATTTCATGTTGCTTTCTTTAGACAAATAAGAAAACTGGACAGCCCATGATAAATCTATACACAGACAGGGAAACGGGCAAGCTGAAGGGAGAGGCAACGGTATCATTTGATGACCCACCTTCTGCTAAAGCAGCTATTGACTGGTTTGATGGTATGTATGAGGAAGCCGGTGGCTGGTGGGGAGGTCAGGTAAGCAAGCCTTTGGAAACAGGCTGTGTTTTAAGGGTTTCTTGGAATCTTCTGATAGTTAACTTGATCTGCTTCAGTAGTCTTTATTTTTGCTTATATCTTATATTATAAACCTTTTCAGGAATGCACAGTCTTGTTGATTGTACCTAGTGTGTTTTTGGACCCACAGGTCTTAATAAAACATCTCCTTTTTATATCCCCTTTATTTCTTTAGGTAAAGAATTTTCTGGGAATCCTATCAAGGTCTCATTTGCTACTCGGCGAGCAGATTTCAACCGGGGTGGTGGCAATGGTCGTGGAGGCCGAGGGCGAGGAGGTGAGAGTTCTTTCCTGATACTAGTTTAAAGAGGTGATGTGAAGAGATGGGGGAGGATTGTGAGGGCTTGCATAGAAAAGGAGGTTTAGGTTAACTAAACAAAGGGACCAGATGCAAACTTGTATCCACACTAGGACCCATGGGCCGTGGAGGATATGGAGGTGGTGGCAGTGGTGGCGGTGGCCGGGGAGGATTCCCCAGTGGAGGTGGCGGTGGCGGAGGACAGCAGCGAGCTGGGGACTGGAAGTGTCCTAATCCGTGAGTGAAACTTTTTTCTTGGTCTTAACATGTGTACCCTTTGATGTTACGGTAGAGTTGTGTACGTATTTTCCAAATTAGTCAAGTTGTGGTGCTAATGGGGACAGACATGGCCAAGAGCTTTCCTCCTAGGTAAGGTCACTGTAGTGGAAAAGGTATTGGACTGGGTTCACTAATTTGCAGTTTTTGTTCCTGTTTCTGTTCCTGAGAAGCAAGCATTTTGCTTTTCTGAGCCCTCAGGCCTCAGGTCTCAGTTTTCTAACAGTATCTGTAAGGTCACTGGAATGTAGACATTCCTAATTTTAGGTCTTGTCTACTCCCCACTCCTACTAATTAATTGTTTTACTTTTCCGTAGTACATGTGAGAACATGAACTTCTCTTGGAGAAATGAATGCAACCAGTGTAAGGCCCCTAAACCAGATGGCCCAGGAGGGGGACCAGGAGGCTCTCATATGGGTAAGGAAGAGGCAGAGCTGGTAATAAGAATTTGGGATCAAGAAGCCCTTAATTTTAAGCAGGGAGGCTAGAGGGAAGGGGAAGGTGGGGGGGTGGGTTTTGGGGATGTGTGATATATTTATTGTATTTATTTTGTCCTAGGGGGTAGCTATGGAGATGATCGTCGTGGTGGCAGAGGAGGCTATGATCGGGGCGGCTACCGAGGCCGAGGCGGGGACCGTGGGGGCTTCCGAGGGGGCCGGGGTGGTGGGGACAGAGGTGGCTTTGGCCCTGGCAAGATGGACTCCAGGTAAGACTAAATTGAAGTAAAAGTAATTGAACAGAACTCATGGGATATAGCAAGGTTTTGTTGAGAAAGTGGTTTCATTTTGAGGGTTAGATTGTTAAGCTGTTGTCACCATAGTGGGGAGGAAAAGAGGGGATGAAAATTATCTTGGGACACTAATCTGCAGATTCAGTACTTAAGAAAATATAACTTTTTGTGGGCTGGGATTTCGGGGGTGGGTGGGTGGGTGGAGAGGTTGGTAACTCAGACTTTAATGGATACTCTTTCTTTCAGGGGTGACCACAGACAGGATCGCAGGGAGAGGCCATATTAGCCTGCCTCCTAAAGTTCTGGAACGGCTTTTCTTCTGTACCCAGTGTGACCCTCATTGTTTTGTAACCTTCCAACTCTTGACCACCCACGGGTTTTTTGTGTCGGACTATGTAATTGTAACCATATCTCTGGTTCCCATTAAAAACCATTGTTTTAGTTAAAATTATCTTTTCTATCCCCTCTTCAGAGGATTAATGTCCAGGTCAGGAATGTGGGTTTTTTTTCCTCTTTCAGCTCATCCTGCCTAGCAGGAACTGGAATAAAATGTTTGATACTTGGTCCTGGGGAGAAAAGGTCAAGTGGTCTCCTTGAAAGTAGAGATAAAACTCTATCATCACAAAGTGGGGTGTGTAAAAGGGGTAAATGAGGAACTCGTGATGTTGTGAATGTTGTCCCAACTCTGGACAATTTTGAGCACATTTATTTACATGCTGGTCTTAGTGAGTTTACTATTTATAGCAGCAGCTTTACCCTCCGACACTTCACGAAGGGTGGGTCTCAAATCAGGTTTGCCTTTGGGGCAGTATTCAAATTTGACCACGATGGGGTTGCAAATAGGGTCTTTTGCACAAAGGAGTAACTGCACCTACTCACTGCAGAGGTGCTGTCGCCTCCTGGGCAGCAAAGTGCATGGATCATGTGGCTCAGAAAATGGGAGAGGCAAGATTGAGTCCTAGTGTTCTGACTCATTTTCGATATGAAACCATTGGTCTTAAGGGGTCAAAATATCTCAAATGTTTGTTTGCTTAGGCCTTTTATACTTAGGAGGATGCTAAATTTGAGGGGAGAGGCTTGGGAATGAGATGGTAAGAAAGGGGAGGTTAGCTGAGAAAGGTAGAGGCATTACCTTATATTTCAGGGGGAGTGACCCTGCACCCCCTATTTTCCTGAAGGTGGGGCTTGGGTAGATAGTTGATGTAGGGAGTTACTAGTCTACCTGGTTTCATATCTGCCTGTACCCAGAGGGCTGAGATCATTGCTGTTTTGAGATTTTTAGGCTTGTGGGAGCTTTTTTTCTTCATAAAAAAAATTTTAAACTTTATTATTGAATGTATTATAGATGTTCTCCCCTTTTTTTCCCTCCTCATTGACCCCTTCCTCCCAATCCCACCACCCTCCTGCCTTCCCCACACTATTGTCTGTGTCCGTCTGTTATGTATATACGAATACAAGTTCTTTGCTTTATCTCATCTTGCCCTCCCTCTCCCCTTCCCTTTGAAGTTCATCTACTTATTAATTTGTACTTATTAATTCCTTCATCTTTTTCACCCATCCCCTCAGCCTCCATCCATCTAGCAAGCAACAACAAGTTCTCTGTATCTTTGAGTCTGTTTCTGTTCTCGCTGATTTTGTTGATTCAATTGTTGGTAGATATGTATTAATTGCCATTTTGTTCATATTTTTGTTTTCCTTCAAGAAGACCCTTCAACATTTCATATAATACTGGTTTGGTAGTGGTGAACTTTTTTAGCTTTTTCTTGTCTGTGAAACTCTTTGTATGTCCATTGTTTCTAAATGATAGCTTTGCAGGATAGAGTAATCTTGGTTGTAGGTTCTTGCTTTTCATCACCTTGAATATCTCTTGCCACTTCTTTCTGGCCTGCAGAGTTTCTTTTGAGAAATCAACTGACAGTCTTAAGGGAGCTCCTTTGTAGGTAACAGACTGCTTTTCTCTTGCTGCTTTTAAGATTCTCTCTGTATTTAACCTTTGGCATTTTGATGATGATGTGTCTTGGTGTGAGCCTCTTGGGGTTCAGCTTGTTTAGAACTCTCTGTGCTTTGTGGATTGTATGTCTGTTTCCTTCACCAAGTTAGGGAAGTTTTCTGCCATAATTTTTTCAAATAGGTTTTCAATTTCTTGCTTTCTCTGGCACCCCTATGATACGAATGTTGGCATGCTTGAAGTTGTCCCAGGGGCTCCTTACACTATCCTTATTTTTTTGGGTTCTTTTTCCTTTTTACTGTTCTGGTTGGGGGTTTTCTGTTTCCTTATATTCCAAATTGATGGTTTGCTTCTTGGCTTTACCTATTGATTCCTTGTAAATTTTTCTTTCAGTTAGTGTATCCTTTTTTATGTTGTTGATGTTCTCACTAAGTTCCTTGGTCTCTTTAAGTCCTTTGTCTCACCAAGTTCCAAGAGCAACCTTACAACCTGTGTTTTGAATTCTGCATCTGATTGATTGCTTATCTCTATTTTGTTTAGTTCTTTTCCTAGAGTTTTGTTCTTTTCATTCATTTGGGACATGTTTCTTTGTTTCCTCATTTTGGCTGCTTCCCTGTGGTTGTTGCTATGTATTAGGTAGAGTTGCTATGTCTTCTAGGCTTCATAGGGTGGCCTATTGTAGGTGTTCTGTAGGATCCAGTGGCACAGCCTCCCTGATCACCCCAGCTGAGCCCTTGAGGTACACCCCTAGTGTGGACTGTACACCCTTCTGTTGTAATTGAGTCTTGATTGCTGTTGGCACATCAGTGGGAGGGATTTACTCAGGCTGACCAGCTGTAAGGACTGGCTGTGCCCACTGGCGACTGGCCTCTGACTACCTTGGAGGATCAGCTGTGTATGGGCCCAACACACAGAGCAAGACTTCCTTCAGCAAGGTTCTGGTACCTACCCTGTCCACTCGAGTGTGTCATTTGTGGAGGTGGTTGGGTGGTGGTGGTTCGATGTGGTTTGAAGTTGTCTAGTAGGTGTGCTGGTTCTGGGACAAGGTCACCCACTGCTTGTGTTCTATCCAGGGCCATCCCGCATAAGCTACAAAGTGATCTGCAGATGGCTGCTGCTTGTGCTGGGCTTGGTGGTATCCAGGAAAAGCCAATTTGTGAACCAAGGCTGGTTGCTTCTAGTGCCAGGCCTGGGGCCCCTTAACAAGAGGTATGGGACTTGCTGAGACCAGATGATGCTTGTTTGAGAGATTTTAGGCAAATATGAAGCAGGATCCAAGACAGGCCAATCCTATGGTAAAGCCTTTGGAAACAGCTTGGGTGGGCCTGAAAGTTCGGTGGGGTGGGGCCTCAGGGGATCACCAGGGTGGGCAAACAGTGTGAGCTGGGTTGCTGGAGCTTCAGACACAGCCTCGGGGGAAGGGCTCATCATGCTGCTCTTCCAGCTCTCGTCCTGAGGCCAGACAGCTCAGTTCTTCCCTGTATGTTTCTGGCGCCCCTCAGGATTTTTTTTTTTTAAGTTAACTCAACCGAGGGTAATTTTCCATTTATCTTCAGATAGGGGGAGAGAGACAAATTGGTTGCCTCCCACACAACCCAGACCAGGACCAGGGAGCAGACCATAAATGAGGTATGTGCCCTTGACTGACGCTCTAACTGCTAAGCCAAAACGGGCAGGGCACTTGTGGGAGCTTTGAAGATTGTGGGTGGCTCTGGCTGGTTTGGCTCAGGTCAGAGTATAGGCCTGTGGACCAGAGTCCAGATCTGGTTCCTGCAACTTCAGTTGCAGTTTGTCCCTGGCCCCCGTCCTGTGAGTGGTAACCACTAGATGGGTCTCTCTTGCATCGATGTTTCTATCTCTCCTCCCCTCTCCCTCCCATTCTATCTGAAGATAAATGCAAAGTGTTCCCTGTCAAGGTGGTAGTGTTGGAGGTAGGGAAAGGGTGGAGCCAATGAGTTTGAAACCTTAGAACAGTGCCCCTCAAACTTGAATGCCTTTCCAGTCCCTCAGAGACTACACTTTCTCAAGTCGAGTTTAGAAAACTTGGCCTGCCAGTCTTTTGAGTTTGCATCTTAGTTACACAGAACTGAAAGTGAGAGCCAGCAACAAAGTGTTTGCTGTCAGATACATAACCTGTAGAGTGCCTAGGGGTTCTGGTTGGGAAGTGCTTTTCTCGGTTGAAATACGTCAAGTGTTTTCTAGAGTTGATTGATACATCCTGAAATTTCTGACTTCAGACAGGGAAGCTGTGGAATTTGTCAAAAGGAATAGCTGCTTTACCTTCCCTACTGGTTGGGGGTTCTCAAAAACCAAGAGTATGCCCTGGCCAGTTTGGCTCAGCTGTTAGAGCGCTGGCCCTTGGACCAGAGAGGCCCGGGTACAGTTCCCGCTAAGGGTGTGTACATACCTCTGTTGTGGTTTGTCCCCAGCCCCAACCGGGGCCGTGTGGGTAGCAGCCAGTTGATGTGACTCTCTTCATTCTCCTTACCACTCTATCTGAAGAAATGCAAAAATGTCTTCTGGTGAGGATTAAAAAACAAAACCAAGAGTAGGCTCAGTGGCTGAGCTCCCAGGCAATGCTTTCAATTGGCTTATTGAACTTGGAACGTGTGAGGAGCCCTTAGTTTTAGAGCTGATTAATAATTCTCTCCTTGGTGTGGCCAGGCTGTTTTTTGTTTTTATATATATATATATATATATGTGTGTGTGTATGTGTGTGTGTGTATATCTCCTCACCGGAGGACATTCTTCCATTTTTTGTCCAGATAGAGTGAGAAGGAGGAAGGGAGGGAGGGAGGGAGAGAGAGAGAGAGAGAAACATCGACGTGAAAGGAACACATCAAGTGGCTGCCTCCTGCACGACCCAACCAGGCTGGGGACAAACTGCAACTGAGGTATGTGCCCTTAGTGGGACCCGAACCCTGGTCTCTTGACTGCAGGCTGACGCTCTAACCACTGAGCAAAACCGGCTAGGGCTGATGTTAAATAGTTGGCTTAAATGGCCTGATCTTTGTTTTTCCTTCCCCTAGAGCAGTGGTTCTCGACCTTCCTAATGCCCGACCCTGTAATACAGTTCCTCATGTTGTGGTCACCCCCAACCATAGTTATTTTTGTTGCTATTTCATAACTGTAATTTTGCTACTGTTACACGAATCACCATGGGAAATATGTGTTTTTCAGTGGTCTTAGGCGACCCCTGTAAAAGGATCGTTTGACCCCCAAAAGGGTCATGACCCACAGGTTGAGAACTGCTGCTCTAGAAGGGTCTGGTGTTAGGATTGGGTTGTGGTTTCTTGATCCTTCTGCTAGGGGTTAAGGGTTCTGGATACTGACAAGGACTCTTGGTATTAACTTCTTATGTCCTTTAATGGGCTTCAGTGATATTGGCTGGCCCTTAAATTAGAGGTGCTTGTTTAGTGTGTTGATCCAGTTTGGGGACCTTTGTGGGAGAGTGGATGTAGAAACAGGGAATGTTGGTTCTGAAAAGCTGGTTCTACTGC